GGGGTGGGCAGGGGCTGGGCTCCTGGACTGCCACTCTTCAGGGTTTGCCCGCACACACGCCTTGTCCTGGAGTCCTCGCAGGGCGATGGTGCTGTCAGTGAGGCTGGGACCCCTACAGGTGCCTGTCCCTAGTTGGGGTTTTGGCTGCAGGACAAGGGATGTGCAGGGCTGCTCTCACTGCCCAGGCAGGGGGTGTAGGCAGAGGAGAGATCTGCCCCACCACAGGCTGGCTGCTTTCGCCCCAAGCTACTGACCGCCAGCGCCACGGGGGGGGGAGGGGCGGGGGCCCTTCTCCCTCCCCTGGGGTCTCTGACCAGCTTCCCCAGACAGGGGTCCTGGGACAGCTTCACCCAGATTGCAAAGCAGTGGGTTTCAGGCCAGAGCCCAGAAGCGCTCGAGGTCAGCTTCCCGGGGTGAGCTGAACCGGCCAGGGTGGCATGGCTGTGGGCTGGAGGGCAGGTGGGAGCAGAGCCCTGGCCCCTGAGTGAGGCTACAAGTGCGGTCATTGGAGATGATCCAGGAGGGCGAGGAGGTCCTGAGGCTGAAGCTGGGACAGGTGGGTGGAGTGGATGGAGAGGCCTGGGCCACTACCAGGAGCCCCGCCCCCTTCTCAGCCGGAGCTGGGGGTGGAGCAGCAGGGCTAGGAGAGGAATGTGTGTTGCTCACCTTTCCTCAGGATGTCTCCACTGGCTGCCAGAGGAGAGCCGGGGTGTGGGAGACCAGGGGAAACTTCCCAGTAGAGTGCATCTTGGGTGGTGGGGGGATGGGGTGGCCCCTGGTCCTCTGTCCAGGGCAGAGCTGGGCACTACAGCTCCCTGAACCCTCAGGGCCCCGCAGTGGACAAGTCCATAGTGGGTAGAGATCCCATGAGGTAAAACGAAGGACGCTTGTCCCCCTAGGACTGGGCGGATGGGACACCTGTTCTGGGGCCTACCTCTCCCTCCTCCTCTTCCCTGGCCAGAGCCTCCTCATCTGAGCAGGCAGCTACTCCTCCCCGACAGAGGTGGAAGCAGAGCTGTTGGACCCAGGTGGTCCCTCCTAGCCTACCCCATCCAGCTTCCAGAGGCCCCCGGGCAGCCTGAGCCAGGGAAAGTGGGGGAGCAAAGCCTCAGGAACGCCCCACTTGTTACCAGGGAGGGGCTGACCCAAAGGTTCCTGGCCTGGGGCCAAGTGAGGTCTCCCACCCTGGTCTGGGCCTCATCACGCCCTTCACATGATCCAGACCCAGAGGGGTCAGGCTGCCCTGCCTATTTTTCTGGGACATGAGGGCTCTCTCCCAGGCTGGGCCAACTTACTCTAGTTCCAGCTGACCCTCTCCTGCTGGCTCCGTGACCTCCCAGGGCACTGTGTGCCCCAGCAGCCATTAAAGCCTCAAATACCAGCCCCTGCTAGTGCCAGTCCAGGACTGGAGGGCAGTAGGCACTTGCATGGCCTTAGTCAATAGCCCCAGGCTCTCTGGCTGTAAGCCTGGCCCTGCCTGGACCCAGATGGTTTCCCTCAACTGACAGCTCCCAGCTTCTTAGAAGAGGTCAGCACCTCTCTCTTCTCTTCATCCCTCTCTGAGCCCCCACCTGGCACAGATTTCTTACCCAGATCCATCTGGGCTGACACCTCCTCAGAGGGGTGAGCAGGACAAGGATGCTGTCCCCAGTCAGAGGAGAAAACTAAGGCCAGGATAAGGACCTCGGACTTTTAACTGACACCCTGGTGAGCGCCTAGATGAGAACGGGGTAGCGAGGCTGACAAAGTGTCCGTCCGTGGCCCAGCCTCTCTGCCCCCTAAATCCTCAAGACCCTAATGGCATTGCCAGGGACAGAGGGGCTAGGTTCTCTGAGAGGGGAGGGTGGTTTGAGCCAGGGCTCCCAGCCTTGCTTCCAAAGTGGGCATTGAAGGGGCTGCCTAGGCTGGCGGAGGGCTGCTGGGACAGAGGCAGAGGGGCAGGCAGAGGGGAGGTGGGGAGGGGTTCCTGAGCTGGAGACACACCTCTTTCCCACCTGCGACACCTCCTCTACCTCCTTGCATGCCCCATCCCCCAGCCCTGCACAAGGAGGCCTCAGTAGCAAACTCCTAAAACGCCTCCAGGCATGATGCCTTGTCGAACATCCTCCCGAGCTGGTTCCCACTGTCAAGTCCAACCCCTTGGCCAGACGCACAAGGCCCTTTGCCAATCGGCCTGTGCCAACCTTTGTGGCCTCCTGGCCCATCTTGTTAACCTTACCCCCAACATTCTAACTACACCAAACTGGGTGTCCCTACCCTGGGATGGAGCCGAGCACAGCTCAGAGGCCAGCCCAGTGACTGGCGATGGGTCCAACTGGACGCACATGTGCTCACACCCTGGTCTGGGCTTCATCACGTCCTTCACATGATCCAGACCCAGAGGGATCAGGCTGCCCTGCCTATTTTTCTGGGACATGAGGGCTCTCTCCCAGGCTGGGCCGTTCATATGCAGACACGCACCTTTGTATAAAAGCCCGCCACCCAGCTGCACGTAGTTTCCTACCAGATCACACACACACGGAGCTGGGAAATCTGAGCCAAGAAGAGTCTAACAAATCTGGCTTATGGATGCCTAGAGACACTGAGTGTGGTCCTGTCACCATCCCCAAGTCCTTGAGGGGCAGCAGGGAGGCAGGAGTGAGTCCACGGTTGGCTCAGCCCTCACTGGACCCCAGGGTCTCTGAGCCAGAGGGTGGGCAGAACATGGTCAACCAGGTCCCAACCAGGTTCTGATTCTGGTTCTATGTCAAGACTTGCTGTGTAGCCCCAGACAGGCCATCTTCCCATTCTGGTTTCCCAGCTATAAAGCAGGGGAATTTGGATTAGCCGACACCTACAGGCTACCCAGGCTCACTGTCCAGCTGCTCTCAGTCCATGGCAATTTCAGAGAATGGAAGGGCCTGTGGGCGCAGCAGTCGAGGGTGCCAGGCACCCCACAGGAGCTCCGGCTGGG